CATTGGTTGCTCTGCCCCGGGAGGCGGGACACCCGCGCAGGAACCAATCATTAGGCTCCAGCGCGGCTGCGTGGCAGCCATTTTGCTTGCGGGCGCAGCCGCCATCGTTGTTGAGGGCGGCCATCTTACGGGCCTCTCCGTCCCTCTCTCCAGACTCCGCCGCCGCTTCCCCCGGTGCCGGCGCCTCCCTCGCCGTGGAGGAGTAAAGGAGGAAGGGGGAGCACCGTGGGGTTAAAACCCCAAGAGCCCTTGTACTCGCCCCGAACCACCTGCCCTGCTCCTGACCGCCAGCCATGGGCATCCCCCCACCCCAGCGCAGAGCCCAGGCCCTGAGGGTCCTGCCCAAGCTGGGAGGGGCCCAGAGAAGACACACCAAGGGCATTATCCACGGTTAGAGGTGCTTTGTTGGGTTTGTTTTTTCTCTCCTTTTTCTCCTCCTTTAGAAAGTGCTGTTTGTACATACTGACCTTACAAAAGCAGGTTAAAACCGAGGGCCGGGCACCCGCCCCCCGTGCTGGGATCAACCTTCACAGCCCAGCCCAGGGCTTCTAGTGTTACACTTGTGCAAGCACAGGGGGACATCCTTCATGAGTCCCCGGGCAGGGCACGGGGAGGGGGAGTGTGTGTGGGACACAAGTCCAGTGCAAGGTGACAGGGAGACAGGGCAGGGAGCCGACCCCTTCCCCCAGTCCCAGCGCCAGCCCCCGCCGCGGGGTCCCTCCGGGCAGAGCAGCAGTGCGGACGTGGCCGTGGCTGCGGACGCTGCTCAGTTGACGGTGCCGCTTGGGCTCCTTCCCTCCACGCTCTCTGTCCCGCCGTAGGAGGCCCCCACTCCGCTCAGCCCCTGCAGGCAGATGGCATCTGCGGGGACGGGAGAGATGGGACAGGTCAGGAGCCATTGCAGCTGCTGAGGTGACCCACCATACACTGGCCTGGACCTTCTGGACTCTCCTGCCACTGGCCCAAGAAACCCTACTTAGCACATCCCCAGGGCAGAACAGGGGGCATCCACCCTCTCCCCCCACCTCAGAGCAAGGCACCCAGCAGGGCAGAGAGGCAGCTGCTGCGCTGGCACTGAGCACTGGTGCCCGGGTCTGCAGCCTGGCACTGGCACCTTGGTTTTGCACCCCAAGCCCAACCCCTGCGCCCACATTTGGCTACCAGCATGCGGAGCAGAACCCCACCCCTTGGTGACCTAGTCCCCTAGGTCTGTGTGACCCAAGGGGTGCCAGGGTCAGCACAGTCATCGCAGGGCTGGGCAGGGTGGGTCCTGCTCTCCAGGAGGGCACAGCAAGCAGGCACAGCCCCCAGCCCTGGGGCCAGGAGCAGCAGAAGCAGGATGCTGGCCCTGCCCCGTGTGCCTACCATGAGGGTTCCCCCACGGGCAGGGCTGCGGGCGTCCCCACAGCCAGCCCTGCCATGCCACCTCCCTCTGGGACAGGGTTCCTGCCGCCTTCCCTGGGGCCATCTGGAAAAACACTTTCGATTTAGCCCAGGCTGGCACAGGACACAGGGCTCCCAGTGCCCTCAGCCACACGCCTGGTCCCCCTGGTGCCCCCAGCCCCACTCACGGTAGCGGATACGGATGGGCCAGACCATGATGCAGCACAGAGAGGCGATGGCAGCGATGGCAATGCCTCCGGTGACCAACACCATCACCCAGTGGTAGAAGCTGATGCAGGCAGGGCAGCAGAGCTCAGTCCTGCAGGGAAAGGGCAGGGACATGGCTTGGTGGCCAGGACCGGCAGCTAGCCCAGTGCTGCCTAAGTGCCCTGGGGCTGCTGACAGGAGTCCCACATCCTTGGTGTCAGGACTGGTTCACACTGGGACATGAGTGAAATGTCCAGGGCAAAGAGAGAGGGCAGCACCTGAGCACTGAGATCCCCAGCCCTCTTGTGCTTCCCAGAGATGCAGCCCTCGTCTAGGGCAAGAAGAGAAGTTGAGGGAGGATTTAAGGCAAATCAGAGTTGTTTTCCACCCACGTTTCTTGCCCAGAACCAGAGATATTTGCTGTCTGGCCTCCAGGCAATGTGGCTGAAGCTGCCACAGGGAGGGTTCCCACTCCTCAGGGATGCTTACGGGCATGGGTGCAGGTTCTGGATCGCCATCACAGCCAGGCCATTGGCCATCTTGTCCGTGAAGCTCATGGCGCCGTAGACGAACGCGCTGCTGTGCTGGGAGGGAAGAGGAAACCTCATCGGGCCAGTCCCACCAGCAGCCTGGTGCCGGCAGCGAGAGCCTTGTGCCCTCTCATGGGCAGAGCCCATATTACAGCAGGGCCTGGGCACAGGGCACTGGGTTGCCCACACCCCTCCAGCAGATCCCCTCGCAGGGATCTCCATCCCACACCAGTGACCATCGCAGCCCACGGGCTCCGAGCCCCGCTGGGATGCCCCGGCCCATCGTGCCGGGAGGAGCAGATGTACCGTGTTGGTGCCGATGAGGTCTGCTGTCATGGAGAGGGAGGTGACCAGGATGGTGGCGGAGCCAGCCCCAAGCAGTGCAGCTGCCCCGTAGATCTCTGCTCCCATCTGCCCGGCCAGGATCACCCAGGAGGCAAAGGCCAAGATCACCAGGATGCCCACGAAGTAGGTCAGCTGCTCCAGGCCAGCGTGGGGACCGGCAGAGGGAGAAGAGAGCTCAGACATCCAGCAAGGCAGGGCCAAATGGGGAGGGGATGGGGGTCAGCTGCTGCCTCGGAC